CAATGTACTATAAAGAAAGACATAGTGAAAGATTACAATACAGGCATAAAAAGGTAGTCGCCAGGTCACGTCATTATATGAACACCAACCATAATTGTTTTAGTGATATATGCCCGTATATCTTGTGCTGTGGTATGTATGGGCCGTAGGTTATTGACAACTTATATCTACCCTGAAACGGCTATAACAGATATTAGTAGGTTCAACAGGAGGACGTTTAGAAAAAAAATTATATGGGCAACGTTGATCTTATACGAATGCGAATAATAAATCTCAGGGTTCCCGCAGGAATCAACACCACGCGTGATGCGTGGCACTCATGTGATCTACTGCAGGTTCACCCTCGGTATCGAAACTGATATAAAAAAGGCTGTGCAGGCGTAATACTGGGGAAATGTCAATTGTGAGCGTGAGATAAAGGTTTAGGATCTACATCTAAATAAAGATATGAATTGTGGTAACAGCGTGGGCTATCTAAATTTTCAAACATCAGATATGTACACTTATGATAAGCATCATGTTAAATTCACATTGATTAACACTTGAGCGCCATCCACTGAAGTTAGTCTACGTAACACTAGTCCGGGTTACTATACACCCAGGCCCAGGCGCTTCATATCAGCTTATACAGCTTTTGGTGTTGGTAATTCTCATGTTGCTGTGGACATCATGCGCAACTGTAAAGAACTGGTTACATCAGCTCATGTGATTTATGGCAATGCGTACACCACTTGCACATAATGTTACGGGGGTGAGAGAATGAATGAAATAAATATATTTACAAAATATACAGGGAGAGTCAGAAGCAGCTGCAGCCAAGATGGAAGAACAGCAGCAACAACAACACGAGCACGGTCGCTTTCATCGTCTTCGTCGTCTATGATGCTCTTTCTGTCCAACGTCGTGTAACATATAACCCCCCGCTGCTGGCAGCGCTGTCTCGGCGCCTAAAGGAGAGTAGGGTCATATGCGGATATGTACGGTTTGAGGCGGGTCACGTGGACGACGTCAGTAACGGTTGCGTACGACGATGACTGACTGTCCAACGGAGCAATCTCGTACGTGACATCGGTAAGCCGGCGTAAAACCTTGTAAGGCCCCGAGTAGCGAGACAGGAGCTTTGAAGAGAAGCCAACGTGGCGGCATGGTGTCCAGAGGAGGACCAATGAACCTGGAGAGTAGGAAACTACTCTGTGATGGCTATCGTAGTGGGCCTTCTGAGAGAACTGCGAGCCAAGAAGACGTTCCCGTGCAATTTGGCGGGCCAATTGAGCCCGAGCAGTGGCATCCCGGGCATACTCTGTTACCGTTTGCGTAGTTGATGGGAGAAGAGTCTCGAAGGGTAACGCTGGATGGCGGCCGAAAAATAAATAGAAGGGGGAGAAGCCAGCGGTATCGTGGCGTGACGAATTGTACGCGAATGTCACATAGGGCGAAGTACTATCCCAATCAAGGTGATCTTTGGAAACGTACATGGAGAGCATTGTTGTCAATGTTCGATTTAGGCACTCGGTAAGACCATTTGTTTGTGGGTGATAGGCCGTAGTGAGCTTGTGACGTGTCGAACACGAGCGAAGGATGTAACTTACTACTTTTGAAAGAAATAAGCGACCACGATCAGTCAGCAGCTGTCGAGGAGCACCATGGTGAACAATCACGTCATGAAGCAAGAAGTCCGCCACGTCAGTGGCAGAGCTTGTCGGTAGCGCTCGTGTGATAGCGTATCTTGTGGCGTAATCAGTGGCTACGGCTATCCACTTGTTTGCAGTGAGAGAAGTAGGAAATGGTCCAACGAGATCAAGACCGACGCGGTAGAAGGGAACGGTGGGTATGTCTATTGGTTGGAGCGGACCAGCTGGTGGCAAGGTGGAATGTTTGGAGCACTGGGTGAACTCACATGCAGCAACGTATCGGCGCACAGAACGGTAAAGGCCTGGCCTCCGAGTGCACTGCAGCTCCCTCTCAGCCGATCAACCATCGTCGACCCCATGTTTCGTATGCCCAAAGCCAAAACCTTCCGGCACGCCCTCGCAATCCAGCCGAGTGGAGGACTGCTGACGATCACCCGATTTGTTTCAACTGCCACCGTATCGGACATGTGGCCCGCAATTGTAACACTCGGTGGTATTGGCATCAGGCATCCTATGGGTACCCCCATCGGCCAGAGAGGGATCATGGACGCTTTCAAACTTACCGGGAGTCACCTCAGGCCACCAGTGAAGACGTTCCTTCTATGCTGCCATGTCGTCGTCCCCTGCTCCGTTTTCATCCTCGAAGAGCGCAGCGAATGCCACCATCGACAAGGTGATCGCTCGGGACCTTCTTCCAGCGCAGACAGCTGACATCCGGCAACTGCTGAAATCCTACCGCGACATCTTTCATTTTGATGACCGCCCTTTGCGTCAGACATTCTTTGTAACTCACAGGAGTAACCCTATAGATGCCAGCCCCATCCGACGACGTCCTTATCACGTGTCTAATGCTGAGCGACAAGTTGCCCAGCACCTCCACAAAATGTAACGGGGGTGAGAGAATGAATGAAATAAATATATTTACAAAATATACAGGGAGAGTCAGAGGCAGCTGCAGCCAAGATGGAAGAACAGCAGCAACAACAAGAGCACGGTCGCTTTCATCGTCTTCGTCGTCTATGATGCTCTTTCTGTCCGACGTCGTGTAACAATATTTTACCACCATTTGCTAACATTGCGCTCAATATATAACTAGACCAGTCGCCCTGCTTCCACATGCTTCCCATGACATCGATTCTTATGGTACGTATGATCCACCGATTTATTATATTGAGCAAGCTTACGGCAACTAACACTCAATAATTCAGAACATCACAGGTGCAAGCCAGCTTGAATACGCCATTGTCACGCCCCTGTAGAAGCTAAAACAGATAAAAACACTTCAATATTAGGACGATGAGCTCGCTTTCGGTAATCTACGGAATATTCAGGTACTCTCGAGAAGATAAAGCGAAACACCTGACGTCGATCAATTATCGAGGGTGTGAAAGTGCTACACTGCAACAAATTACAACCAGTAACTGAACCACAGCCATGTGGTTCACGAGAAATGTGCTGATTATTCGAAGCACATTTGTAATGCCGAGAAGCTACTGCGTGCTCACAAGGTAGTGCTTTTTGCGCATGCGCCAAGAAATACCGTTTGTGTATATGCTGGGTAGAGCGTTCTGCGGAGCATCTTCAAAAGTGTAATTTTTGCGTTGGGGCTGCCAATTTATGCCTCGAGAATAAAATCATTCTGGCGTGTGTCCATTACCATGCCAGAACCACTTATGACGAGTATGACACACAGAATTATTCAAGAAATTCTGCCCCAACCACATTGAACACGAGTTTGGCGACCACTTCTGAGAATTTACCCCTAGCTTTAAAAAGATCACTGCCACTTCAGTGTATACACCGAGTGATTTGCCATATTTGCCATGGCCATTAACATCTCGTAAGATAAGAGCTTTCTCAGCTTCCTCACGGCTAAGGGCGAGGAGGATTACATGACGCTCAGGAGCTTGTTGTTACCTAAAACACGAACTAAGGCGTCAATCACGGAAGTCGTTCACGTTCTGAAGAAGCATTACTCTGCCGAGCGCCCCGCGTCACCGAACGATATCGCATTCACCAGTGCAAGAAGGGGCCGCATGAGAAAATGGCAGTTTTTGTGGTAGCTTTAAAACAAAGCCTGTGCAACATGTGAGTTCAGCACCGTTTTCACCAAAGCATTGCAGGATCAGCTCACCGCTTGAATACGTACCTGCATGCCGAGGGAGTACAGTGCAGGCTATTTCCAATGCCAGATAAGGAGATCGTTATTTGAAATACAAAACGGGGCTGATCTCTCTATGTAATAATCGCTATAACACAAAAGTGAAATATGTCTTTACAGAGGTAGTTGAGTCTTTTTGTGCCTTTTTTCTGCAATAGTAAAACAAACTTCAAGGTCTCGTTAAGAACAGCAAGCATCTCAAAACTTCCCACTCACATTACAAGCAGATAGCACGCCCAAATTAAGCATACAAAGGAGCACGGACTAACAACTGTCACCACTCCACGTTTAAAGGACGCTGAAGGAAGACGCACAAAACGAGTGCAGATGTATAACAAGACAAGCGAACAACTGTCACAATTCTTCATGCGTCGTGTGTCAGCAGCGCGCTCCTTTTGTAAACGCGGTCGCGACTGTACGAAGCGACATTCGTCCATTTCTGAATTACGAGACTGTATAAGCACGCGCGAGGGAGAGACCATGCTTGTGGATGCGTCGCTTCGTGAAGGCGACGACTGTGAGCGCGCGCCCAACGCGAGAACGCTGCGCCATCTCACCACTCATAATGAAAACGCGCTAAAGTTTCGAAGCTGCCCCGCCGCGGTGGTCTAGTGGCTAAGGTACTCGGCTGCTGACCCGCAAGCCGCGGGTTCGAATCCCGGCAGCGGCGACTGCATTTTCGATGGAGGCGGAAATGTTGTAGGCCCTTGTGCTCAGATTTGGGTGCACGTTAAAGAACCCCAGGTGGTCTAAATTTCTGGAGCCCTCCACTACGGCGTCTCTCATAATCATATAGTGGTTTTGGGACGTTAAACCCCACATATAAATCAAAGTTTTGAAGCTCTGGGGACTACCAAACGGTGTATAGTGTATATAAATGACTTGCCTCACAACGCACACTCGATAAGATCGTGGTTAGAGCCACGCGCTGAAAATCAAAACGTTGCTAGTTTGATTGATTGAGACATAAACTTGCCCTTAGTTTTTGTCTCTGCGATTCCTTAGTAAATGTATTTCAACGTCCCTTCCGTGGTGGAAGTACGTTAGCAGAGCCATGGTGGACCACGGCAAAAAACACTTTCTTGATAAAAGATTCTAGTTAACAGGTAGCTGCTGCTACTAGCGCTATGATCTCTTTGTAATATGTTACAAACAAATTACCAACGAAATGATAAATCAAGTGTTTTTGTTTCTTTACCTCTTCGCAGGTCCAGAGTTACTTCCACTACAGGAATGTAAAGGTAATTTTTAGCGTCATAGGTGTTGAAATGGTGAGTGCGAATATTTTTCATATAAACTTGATGTATATTAAATTCATTTTAGGCAAATTAACTATGCTCAATCACTTATTAGAAGCCTTCAAATTTCACAGACGAAGTTCACCATCCTGTTGTCTTGTACGTTTATTGCTTACACAATATTTCTGGAGCAAAGACAAAAGAATCATTAGGAATTTCAGAGGCCAGAACAGGTTGTAGTCCAACTTCTTGTCCGCATAAATTTTGTCTTAGACTAATATTTTATGTAACATCGTCATCAATTCTGAGGGAACGAAAAAACTGGCAGATCCGACGTCCAAAAAGAGTCGACGATATTTGAAGCACGAATGAGGAAGGTTGATATCTCAGTTTATTATCAGCGCAACGCGCAACATTACAAGGTGGTAGTAAATTATGCCGCACATATTTTACACGTCATGATTATCAAGTTCCACGTGTCATTTGCTTTCGTCGTCTAATCAAGTCACGTGATTGAGCTACCTAAATGGCCACGAATGCGCTATGAGCGTAGCATGTAGTCAGGTTTTACATGACGCATATAATAATTGTCCTGTTTGGACGTAGGTGTCATTTACCTTCGTCTTCCATTCACAACACGTAATACCAAATTCGGTATATGTGGAAATAGTTAAACAGCTTTAAGAACGCTATATGTGTCGCATGTAGTCGTGTTTTTATATGACACGCACATCATGATTATCATGTTTGGACGTGCCATTTACCTTCGTTGTCTATTCACGTCACGTGATAACAAATTTAGTATATGTGAAGCTAGTGAAACGATCACAAGTGTTCTATGATCGTAGTATGTAGTCATTCATGCTTTACATTACACGCATGCCATGATTATCACGTTAGGACACGTCATTTCACTTCATCGTCAATTCACGTCACGTAATACAAAATTCATAAACAGAACCTAGCGAGACAGCTACGAGCACATCGTGACCGGGGCATTTTGTCATGTCCTTCCATAATACGAATGTCCTGATTATCATGTGTGCACCTGTCATGTACCTTCGTCATTCATTGACGTCACATAGCACAAAGATTGGTATATGTAAAGCTAGAGAAACCACCGCGAGCACACAATGAGCGTGGCATGTAGTCATGTTACATGACACGCATCTCATGGTTATCATATTTGCACCAGTCACATACCTTCGTCATCTATTCACATCCCGTAATGCCAAATTTGGTATATGTGAAGCTAGCGAAACGACTGCGAACGCATCATGAGTGTGGTATGTTGTCATATTCTTACCTGACATGCATCACATGATTATATTGTTTGCACCAGTCATATATCTTCACTATTCATTCACGTGACGTGATACCAAGTTTGGTATAGGTGAAAGCTAGCGAAATGGCTGCGAGCGCGTCATTAGTTTGGCATGTAGTCATGCTCTTACATGACACGCATCTCATAATTATCATGTTTCCACCAGTCATATTTCTTCGTCATTCATTCCCGCCCCATAATACCGGATTTTGTATATGCCAAGCTAGCGAAACGACTGTGAGTGCTCCATGAGCGTGGCGTGTAGTCTTGGCTTACAAGACATGCATGTCATGATTTCCACGTTAGGGTCTGTCACTTGTGTTCACCATGTAGTCATGTCATACCATACCAGTTTTGCAACTGGTTATTTGAACGAAACCACCGCAAGAGCAGCAACACCACGAAATATATATTATGACATTCGCGATATACGTGTCATGATTTTCATGTTCTGACTAGTCATTTATGCTTGTCATACAGTCAAATTACGCGATACCAAATCGATACCTTTAACGAAACGGCCAGCAGAGTCGCGAGCGGCTAGATAGATAGATAGATAGATAGATAGATAGATAGATAGATAGATAGATAGATAGATAGATAGATAGATAGATAGATAGATAGATAGATAGATAGATAGATAGATAGATAGATAGATAGATAGATAGATAGATAGATAGATAGATAGATAGATAGATAGATAGATAGATAGATAGATAGATAGATAGATAGATAGATAGATAGATAGATAGATAGATAGATAGATAGATAGATAGATAGATACGCTCCCACTGGCTGAAGTTCGCTAAGAAATGCTTCGCATTTAAAACAATCTTACGCTAAAAAAACTGTTCATCACCGTTTGGCTTGCATGGGCTCTCTTCTATACAGCTAGCCCTCAACGCTCGTGTAAGCCTTATTGCTGGGCTCCTTGCCTTAATACTCACTCTTTTTGTTAGCTTAGATAAAATGATTAAGCTCCATGTTTCCATACACTGCAATGTAGCTTGTATAGTATTCTTCAGAATATTTCAAGAAACACTGCAATAATCAACATTTTTAGTCAGACGTTTGCACAAGCTATTATTACACCCACAACAAACGGAAATGGCTGTCGTTGTACGTCCGCAGAGCTGCTGCGGATGCCACACAAAACTGCCGAACTAATGCGATGCGACATCAAATGATTCCATAGAAGCGCTAGATCCAGAGCGTTTATGCTGTCCTCGTGTCCGATCAGACGACTTCCTATCACAATCTGGGGATATCTGGCAACCCTACTGCACTGTTGTACTGACGACCTTCGAATAAATAACCAAGCTGATGAATTACGCTGCCCGCTACATTGGAAAGTATTAGCAGGTCACCAGTTCTACCCCACTCTATTGTTTGTCACCCTTTTTTAACACGAACGCTTGCGCTGCAGTTCAAAATATTTCAGTGATGTATTTCTCTCACGGAAATGACGTCGAAAAGTATAGATCACCATATTGCAATGAAATCAAAGCGGGTAATTGCTCCGTTCTTTCAAATTATCGTATAATTTCTTTAACTTCTATACCTGGTAAGCTGCTTGAGCACATAATATACTATAGCGTGGTAACCCATTTTGAAAACAACTCTTTCGTTTTAAAAAACAGCATGGCTTTCGCTCAGGTATTTCCTGTGAATCACAACTTTTTGAGTTTATGATGGACCTCCACTTAAATCTCTACTCTTCATTTCAAACCGATGTCATTCCTCGATTTTTCTAAGGCGTTTGATCGCGTTCCTCATCAAAGACTTATGCTTATACTTTCCTCCTTCAATCTAGACCCGCTCATACTGTCATAGATACAAGCCTTCCTCACTAATTGATCCCAATACACAGTCATCGGAGGTCACCGTTCCTCGACTACAAACGTAATATCTGGCGTACATCTAGGATCCATCCTTGGCCCTCTCCTCTTTCTAATTTTTAATAATGATCTTCCCTCAAGTGTTACGTCTCCGATGCGTATTTTTCCCGCTGATTGTGTCGTTTACCGCCATATTTGTGATGACTTTGATCAACTTGCCCTCCGAAATGATATATATGTAATTGTAAACTGGTGTTCATTGTGGATGATGCAACTTAATATTTCTAAGTGTAAATCTATGCAAGTTTCCCGTAAGCGTTCAAACCTAAATTTTACTTATTCCCTGCAGTCTAACCATCTTGCTCCAGCAGAATCGTACTGATTAATCCCCGAGTGTTCTCATCAGCAGCAAACTAACATAGACTGACCATATCGCACAGCTTACTACCGATGCATCCAAAACATTCGGTTTCATCAGACGATCCTTGTCCTGCTCACAGACCTCAGTTCGTAAACTCGCCCACGAAACCTACGTCCGTAGGAAACTCGAGTATGCCTCTCGTATTCGGAATCCACACTAATCTTACTTAATAGACGCCCTTGAAGCCATTCAAAATCACGTGCCTAGTTTTATAACCTCCCAATACCATTTCCGCAAAAGTGTTACTATTATAAAATCATCACTGTCTCTCACCTCTCTGGATCTTAGACGAAAAATAGCACGCCTTTGTTTATTTCACAAAGTGTATTTCAATTATTCTTACTTACATGGCTCCCTGCTTCTCCCACTAATTTGAACTTCGCGCCGTCTCTTCAATTCATTGAGTGTCCAAAATTTAAGTGGTTCAACCAACGCTTTTAAGAAATTTTTTTTCCCGTTGACAATCGAGGATTGGAATCGGCTTCCAAATGCAATAGCCAATGAACTAAATACTCTGAAGTTTGAAACCTCACTCGGAACTCATTTTACAACCGCACCATTGTAATTTCTGCGTGTAGCCAGTTGCCTTTCTCTTATTTTCATGCCACTCTGAATCTTGCTATTAGTTGTATAACGAGTTATGTTATTATTATTGCCCTGTAATTCCATTTCTTGAATTGTATCCTACTTTACGTTCTTGGTCTGTAACTGCCTTTGTGTATCCTTATTAGACCCACCTTTTTCTTATGTAACACCCCGTCAAGGGAAAATAATTGATGATGATGAAATTGTTCCCCTAATTGGAGTCACTCCCACGTCTTCTACTTCCAGGAGAACAGACGCCGAGCCCGGTATAAACTTCGCTAAAGTCATACGCTCTGGTGGCCATACAAACGCGTCTCCTTTATATTTCACACTTTGTCTTAGTATAGTCGCTGGTGGCTTGGCATCGTCCCTCTGGAAGTGATTAACCAATGGCTTGAACATATAACCTTATGCTGTTCAAGGGATGCATACAAAACAGAAATAATATTGTTTTCTCAGTTCATAAAAAAGCATTCTCTAAATTAGATTACTGGAGTCAAATCAGATGCAATAATAAGCTTTGCAAATATTGTAGCGATTCATCGCAGGCAGCTTAGCAGAACTTTGTCTTGGTAAGTACTCAAAATTCTCAACTCTTTGCAGAACAAAACTATATGGGTTGAAACAAACCATTCTATAGACACAAATGCAACATTGGAGAACTTACAGAAGGCCCTCCCAACGGGCTATATCAGACCGAATAAAACGATTGTTTACCTTTTCACAAAGTAAGACTGTTTTTTTTTCTAAGATTATTCTTTCCAACGCAGCAGCTTGTTACACCACGACTCTCATTTATTGAAATGTGGTAGTATTCTTTTTCTTGGTAGTTCAATTTTAAGAAGTCGAAAATTCTGTCTTTATTATTTTCTGTGCGATATACAATTTACGATTCAATGCGACCCACTGTCTGAAGACCAATATTTCAAATTATTGCCCTAACTGACTTGCAATCGAATAGCCAACAGTATCTGTGGTTTGATGTCGGGCCTTAGCAGGCGTAATGGAGTACCTTATTTTATGACACCAGAATGACAGTACCTATATAAATGTCACCCTGAAGGAAAGTCAATTCAGGCCTCCTTCCAGTGAGCCTCTTTGAATGGGTGGTGAAAGATGGATCTACGAATACAATATGTTGCGTACCCTTGTGCTTCATTGACAGCTTTTTATTGCTGGACTCCATCTGGTGCTACTAAGGAACAAGTATAGTGTAGTAGGTTGATATAAATGGAGACGTGCGGATGAGAGATGAGGCTATTCTGGATCGCAAACAAATTTACAGATGATTGGGAAGCTGTTTTAGGTGTTGGTTACAAACACGCACACACACATTCATGAAGCTCAAGAAATAGGCCTAAAATAAAACAAAACCAACGAGAGTGTTTACGAATCATAAATAACAATGAGAAAGAGCCGAGTACTACACCTGTTATAACCTCAAAGTTCATTGGCAAGTGTGAGGGCTAAACGTTGCATCGAAAATCGAGTCAGTGTTCTGTCACTAGTCGGCTTTTGAAGTACAGTGATTGGCATTCGAATTTTTTCTTCAGTGTCAAAAATTAATCTCCTTCTTTCAAGAATATCATAGGCACAGGAACCTCTCATGCAGAGGACCGGCCGCATATTCTGTAAGGGTCTGTCGATAGCCACTCTAGAATCCAATAATAGAATACTCCTAGTAGGACGTGTGCCAACAGTGTGTGCCATACCTCGGTCGATGAATACAAAATAGAAAAAAGACTTGAATTTGTTTTATTAGGTACCAACTTCATCATTTTATCACGAAAATTGTGGTGAAAAATCTCATTCTATGAAGCTTTAAAATACATCGCCGAAATCACGGCAGTATACCCTTTATAGCTTACAGAACCACTTAACGACACTATAGGGCTGAAGATTTATATGTCTTATTAGGACAGAGCTAAAAGAGGTCCGAAAAATAGTGGCTATACATTTTGGCGCGTCGGCATGCAATGCTACTTCGGGTAGGCAGACTTCTTTGTAGTAGTTTTTTCATTGTAGCGTGATGCAACGAACCTGAAAGGTACCTGCACTAGGTGATCTCTGGTAAAAAAAATTTAAATATAATGATAAATCTAGCTTGCAAAGAAGCGTGTTATTTTACGTGTTGCCATGTCATTGTGCCAAGTCTTTAGGCTCCTTGTTTTGAATAATATCGTTAAATCATTTGACACTCTGTGTAGGGTAACTCCGCTACACACATGTGCCAATTTATCGCATGTGCCCAGGTTTATTTTAAAGTATACCCAGAATGCACCAAGAGGAACTGAAAGACGTGTCGCATCTGCGCATTGATCTGTCGCAGGCTACCACTTAGACAGATATTTCATATATGAGTCATCCATTTTTCTAACAGACAACCTATGTATAACATGTAACAACTTTCAAAGTTTAGCATCCCGAAACAACGTTGTGATATTGAAGGATGCCGTAGTGAAGGACTCCGGAAATTTCGATAAGCTGGCGTTCTGTGCACCCAAACTGTAAGCAACCTGTGTAATAGGTAGCTTACAACAGGCGTTCAACTGGTATTTGCCGACAGCCGTATTCTTTGCTGGCAAGAGTGGCGATGTGGGCTTGTTGGTGAAACATTTGAAAGAAATTTATGTAGCGCGAGGCGAAAAAACGAACACAAGAAAGAACAGACTGAGAAGACAGAGTGCTACTACAGAGCGCTACTACTAGTAGCGCTCTGTCTTCTCAGTCTGTTCTTTCCTGTGTTCGTTTTTTCGCCTCGCGCTACATAAATTTATTTGCTGGCTGTGACCGTGATGAAGATGAAGCAGAGCAGAAAGAACTAGGTGGTGAATCACCAAATATCTGCTCAGGTGTAGGGTACAGAAGCCATGTTGCGAATTTTCGTTCAAGTGCACAGCAGATCATCTACGTTTTTCGCTTTAATGTCATTACACAGTATAATTGCATCACTGAAGCACCGACCAAATGAATACAAACCTAAATGATTACCGCATTCCAGTTTATTGCCTGAAAATTCGGTTAGTCTAACGTCACTCAACTAGAACTCTGGAAGCAAATTCCTGAAAGCTACTTGACAAAATTGGAGAACAAGCCAAGAGAAACTGGCCACCATAAAACGTCGGTGTTTGTTCGTAGGGCGCCTTGTGGTCCATATTTTGAATGACAAAGCAACCAATTTTGCTTGAACTGTGTTCAACGGCAAAACGCACAGGTGTGCTGGGAATGGCAGTGAGAGCACGATGTCCACATAGGGGAGTAAAGTGACGTCTTCATCTCCAATTCGTGCTTCACATTATATCACAACAGGTGCGCAGCAAATCCCTAAATCTACTTTTCAGAAAGTGTCAAGGCCTCAAATATAACTACTCACTGTATTATTTTTGCTATAGCCTTGGGGCCTAGCGTCCGAAGAGCCTACCTTTATGGTTACTATTCATTGTTTGTAAATTAAAAGCCCATTCACGATGAAATTTTCAATATGTTCTATACAAATGCAGGTAAACTACAGTCACATGTGTTTTAGAAGACACTTACACGCACAAAAAAAACAGTCTCCATCTAGTTAAGAGCACTGGTGAAGCAATGAATGGGTTCTGTGTAGCCTGGGGCACCCGTTGGCCACAGAATTACTCCTGAAAAACAACTTTCTGGAGCCTGATCTGGTGCGATTGCTCAAAGCACGGCAGAGTCAAACAATTCAGGTTGCAGTATGGTGTCAGAGAGTTCACCCACTAGCAAAACATTCATGGTCTCACCTATATTTGCGGTTCAACTCGCTCAAATGTGCGAATGCTTTCTCGTCTGCAAAACAATGTGCCAGGTCTGAAATCAAGCCTCTGCTTTTATAACATTTACGTCGGAAGTTTCATTGAACAGTATGGTGGATAAAAATATGCGTATCGCAGGAGATGTAGTCATGGCGGCGGTATTTTCACACGAAATTGTTCTATACGGAGGTCCAGCATGGCTCCGCTGACGTATTTCTGTCATGAATATTACAATGAAAACATAGATTAGCAGTTTGCAAGTGACTAAACGAGAACGAAAAAATCTGTGGCGGGACGTCGAACTACCAACCTCTCGACTCGCAGTGCGCGTTGTTAATCACTGTGCCACAAAGCGTACGTTGTCAAGGATGCTCACGGCAAGCCATTTTTATAAACCATACATGGTTTTGTTGTCATCAGAGCTTCAAAACTTTAGCGCGTATTCGTTACTAGTGGAAGGAGGTTTATTTGGCGAGCCTAACGAATAGGCGGACGATTAGAGATTGCCACAGGACGAGGAAGATGGTGGTACTCGAGCACCGACCTCGTGGTGCCTTCATCTCGTGATGATGCTTGTTGTTCTCTGTTATTGTCTGCATCCCTTCATTGTACTAGTAGCGAGATGGCACGACGTGCTTGCGTTGGGCACCCCCTAAAAATCATCGCTATCACGAAGTGCAGCTTCCACTGAGCGTGGTCTCTTCTACATGCACGCTTAACTGACTGGTAATACGGGAAAGAACGAAGGTCGCTTCGCTCGTTGCTGCAGCTGCATTAACAAAACGAGCGTGCTGCAGACACACGACGAAGTAAGAATGTGACAGTTTGTGCTAGTCCTCTGTATAGTTGTGCGCTTGTTTCATGCGTCTTTCTTTCTGTTCGAACAGTGTGCTTCAAGTGACGAGCTGTTACAGTTGTTAGTCCGCGCTCCTCCTGTGTATGCTAATTTATTGCAGGCTTTCTGTTTGAGTTGTGGGCTGCAAGTTTCGAGCAGTTTGCTGTTCTTCACAAGACTTTGCAATTTGTTGCTGCAACAATGCACAAGAAACACTCAAATATCTATGGAATAACACGTTGCTGTTGCTGAAACAATGCACAAGAAACAATGAACTAGCTCTGTGATGACACCATTCATTTTCGTGTTATACCAGTTTCTAGGTGGGGAGCTCAGCCACGTTTCTTTAGAAAAATATCTATCAGCCAAGCGCAAGGCTCGTGCATTAGAAAATTCGTGAATCATGAGTCACCACTTATAGCAGTTCTCGTTCAGCCAAAACGAGAAATGTTGGTCTTGGCAACTTATGAACACAAATTGATCACCATTCAGAAATATAGGCAAGCATGCTCCCACTGAAAAGATCAACACGGGGACTGCATTTGTTCAAGTAAATTCTGAATATCCTTTTTTTTGCAGCAAAACACAACCTAACACAGAAGAAACTGGTAAGCAATCTTCTAATGAGAAGAAGAAGAATTTATTTTTTTTCTATGTAATGCTGGAGGTACTTGACTCTATATTTCTAAAAACATTTATTGAATCAGCTTCTTCGAATGTTCGAATACAAGTAAGCAGCATACTTCACTACGGCAACAGCCGAGTACTCGAACTTCACCTTGGCGCATTACCATCTCATTGCATTGGCAATATACACTGCGGTCTTCGGTGATACAAATGCTACAATCTTCTTTCCTCGTTCAGGGCACCTTCCCAGAACTAGTTGTGTCATTGCACTGCTGTCAAGAAAGGCCAGTAAACTCTGGACCTAGTTATTGCATCAATAAGAGCGTGCTCTAAGGAACCTTAGATAAAACAGTATTACCGTTAGTTTCCCTATCAATAAAATTTTATAGTGTTATACGTGCGAAATCCATCGGTCATTGTTAGACACCCCAAAGCAGAGTGCTTCAAAACTTCCCACGAAATAGTCTTTTTCACAAGCACCTATATCTTCGTACACGGACTCATATCATTTCACCTACTTTGCTGTGTCAGCAACCGATCATGAATTTGAGTCAGCAACACAGCACCTACTAACATGTCTTTGAATATCTCCATATGTATGTATACGAATGTATGTGCACAATTGTCAAGGTTATTATGTATATACACATTCGTCTATGTGTCGATTTTGTCTGTAAGTATGTATCTCTGAGTATGACATTGGTAGGAGCATACGAATCAATCGATCTGTAACAAACGAAGACTATTTTCACGCAGACTTGGCCACGTTTGGAACCTTTTGCACCCCCAACGTTAGCGCAGCAATAGTAGTACAGCCACCAGGAAACACGAGTTACACATCGACGGTTAAGGCGACGTCGCTCATGTGAGTATACCGTTTATGCTTTCCGCTTACTATCAAGACGAAAGCCGTAATTGCCTGATACTCGTGGGGACCGGTGTCGCTTCCAGCACCCTGGCATGGTGCCAGCTTTGGCACCTTCTTGTTGCGTGGGATGATAAATGATCATTATGAGCGCCCAAACACGAACGACGTCTTCGCGATGCGCAAAGCGTGAGAATACTAATGCATGCTAAACGGAGGCAGATTAGTCTCGTATCTTGCTGCTATTCGCGGCCGAAATAAAAAGAATGACCTAAGTAATAGGCCGAAAACAATCTATACTTCAAGCAAAGAACCGAAGAAAGGAAAATTATAAGAAACGTCTATTTTCCTTAAAACAAACAAATGAGACGAGTTAATGAAGTTCGAAAAGTAGGGAGGGATTGTTATTTGCCGTACTCTTCCTAAGGTTGCTCTTGCATTGTCATTTAATACTTCTAATCTTTTTTTATTTTATCAACTGCACAAAGTTCAAATCTTTAGAGTTCCCTTTTTGCTTCTCGCCATAAAACTCCGTTTAACTGGCGAATAAGCAGTACTTTATTAGTATCGATCTTGAGGTTATTTTCTTTTTCGCTGCAGGGAGTAGGGAGTGGGTGCATGGTATTTTCGGTACTCTTTCCCAGTGGGGGAGGTTGGCGCTCTTGGGATAGGTTGTGGCGGTGACGTCGCTAGCCGGTGCTCCACGATAACAGCAGCCTTCGAGAGTTCTGATAAATCGGAGCACCAGTTTCAAGTTGATGGTTGCAGCACAGACGCGGAAGCTCACCTCACTGCGTCAGACTGGTGATAATTGGGCGTTTAACACCCAAGGTACCGCCAGTGAGTTTCGTTCTCCCTTCACATCGTTTTAGAGTTTACGCGCGTTGATGTAGACGTATCCAGTGCATATGGTGACGGCCCCAGCTCTTATCTCAAATTTTCAGCTTTGTTCAGGCGGGAGCGTTTTGCGCCAGTTGCACAAAGAATGAATTTCTGACCGTGAAGACGATGCCCAATGGGCCTTGAGCATTGCTCCGTAATGCTGCGCGGAGGCTTTTTTTGCGCTGTTTTTCAACTAAGATTTCCTCAGAGAGGCATGGGACCACAGAAATAAGTGAGCGTACATGCATATCTTCGAAAAGCTAATGCACAGCTAGCAACATTGCTTTCACTGCATCAAGAAACTGCTTCGCGCGGTAGCGTGATAATCACTAGTGTCTTGAACGTATGTATGTATCTATGTAAATGACTTTCATACTTACAGAGCTTATACTTGCAGTTTAATTGTATGATGGCTGTGCATTCAAAAGGAATACACACCTTTTTTAACGATCACTTTAGACAGAGTTGCCTTGGTGTTCTTGTTAATTGCTTTTTGTGGCATTTTTAATTTTATAATTTTTGTGTGTAATTGGAAAAAAATATTTTATATGAATATATTACTGCTCGAAAAACCAATTTTTCGCTAGGATTTAGTATTTAGTGATCTGCACTTTAGTGAAAATTAATATCTTTGGCTAGAAAAAATATATCTTGGTGTACTGAAGGACAGACACAAGTTTTAAATTCAAGTGTTAGCAGAGAGAAACAACTTTCCCCGGGTAGAGATTGAACAAATTGTTTTATTGGGCTTGCAATATGCTACCACATGTGGTGCGGCGACTGTCTGCTTCGCAGCGATTTTTTGGTTACGTCAGTGTGTGAGCCCTTGAGTGTGACGAGGTCACCACTTGTAGCCAAAGTGAGGGATGTGAAACTTGCTAACGGCTAGCGTCAAACCACCTGCAATAGGGAGCTTTAGCTTGTAAGTATACTTCTTTACGTTACCGTGTTACCAGATACCGGATAGAATCTGCGCAAGCACGGGTCTTTACGGAACGTAAACTTTTACATTTCCCGCCGGATCGGGTTTGAAAGTTTACGTTTCCCGCCATATAGACGTTACGTCTCCAGCCTAATCTCTCAAATTCACCTTCTTTTGTAGAAAATCTGCATTGCGGGGACATGAACATCGAGTTCCTATAAGCAGAAGTAGCCGAAGTGCGAGCGCCAATGGCCATTACATTGTTTCAGCCGGATTACCAAAGCTAGAATGATCTAGGACATACACGCCGTAAACGTGTGAATTCCTGAGAAGCTGGATAGGTGGTGCCATCTAGCGGGGCAATAGTGAACCAGGTAATCACAAAGTTGCTATTGCAGAAACATCGTGCATTGTACGTCTGATGCAAAAAACGCGCAGTGCCGTTATTACAAATGAGTTACTTTTTTAATCCTTTTCACCTCAAAAACATTACGCGTAAGCCAACGTTTTCATGACTGTGGTTGCACGAAGTGTCACAAGATGTCGAAACCATCGTTGCGTTAGCCTTGTATTTATCACTTTTTTGCGCACACGAGGATACTGTACACAATAAAAAAACGCGTACGCGTCTCGTGATTTCACCACAATGGTGATTCAATCATGTGTGTGTAAAATGCAATTTATGTGCAGTTAGCATCACCATTTATGGTTTGCGAAAACTTAAAGGTATACGCGTTTACGAACGTATGTGAACGTTTACGTATGAGGAGCTAACACGTTGAAAGATATCCGTTCCGGTAAGACGGTAAACGCGAACCAGTATCCGGTAACACGTTAACGTAAAGAAGCGTACGTACAAGCTAAAACTCCCTATTATCGGAGGGGAAACTCACGGACCATATACCTAGCAAGGTACTGAAGTGCAATGTTCCAGAAGCCGAAACACACTCCATAAAATGAACAATTCGTGAAGTATTAGTTCATGGGCCTATATTTCTTGCACTGAACAACATAGAGTCAAGAGTATCTTTTATTTCATATAACTTCAGTTTAGCAACCTTCAAGTCCGTGCAAAATAGTCTGGAAAAGCGGCAAAAACAACTTGATGCTGCTGGCGAATAAATCTGATCATTGTTTTACGCGTACTATTCACCACGCGATACAAAGATCTTTATGTATGACTGAATTCAGCCAGTAGACACTGACAGAATTCTGTAACGTTTGGTTATGGAAGAAATAGCGTAATTAAAAGTTTCAGCACTAAAAAGGCAGGTCGTCACGCTGATTGAAAACAAAGTTATAATATATTTACAAAGCCCTTCTGCTATGTAACATCGAATTGGCTAAGCATACGCACGTATAGTTACAAGCCGTCGGGAAAAATGTTAGCCCACAATAATGCGGTACCCCTCTGAAAAAATTGTGTGGCTTTGAAAGGTTTACGAATATTCCTGGAAGTGCGAAATTACAGTATTTTGTAAATTTGAAGTGATCAGCGCTTGATAAATTGATTCATTCATTTTTCCACAAAAGCATAAAGTATTGTGGTGCAGTGGTAGTCATTAGCTTCTTTGAAGTGAACTTATTATTGAGTTAACATTGCCTTGACCTGTACATATAATTTTTGCATAAAACATAAAACATACAATATGACCATTTACCAGTATTGACTAATTTGTAACGACACATCATAAATGTTTTCCTAAACATTTTTATGCCCAGAAATTGATTTCAGGTCTTCATAGGCAAGACAAGACGCATCAGTAAAAAAATAACTTTAACTTCAAGCTCCTAAAAAACGTACCTATATAAAAATTTCTGTATTCACAGCATGTGTAATAAAATCCCACTTCACTCAAATTCATGCAATGCTTCCCTCATATTTTTCGCTTGTTGGACGCTTGTTTTTGACGGCAGTGAATCTAACTTTCCTTACCTTTTAGATTCGGAGCGAGTGGCACAGTAAACTTCACAACAGAAGACATTGACAGAATGAACAAAACCTTCTCGTAAGCATTATTTCATTACTCTGTATCAACATTACCGTTTTCTTTTTTTTAGAGCCCAGAGGTATCGTATTGAAAGCTGGACTTGGAGTTAGCTGGAACTTTCAACTCAAACTTTTGCAGCGCCAAAAGGAAAACACTAAAGATAAGGCAGAGCAAAATTGAGAGCGCTTTGAGGATGAAGGCGTATATAACGTTCTGTCACTTCTTCTCTGCTCCTTCGTATTTGGCTGACATTAGGTCAACCACATTTCTCGAACCATGGTATGATAAGCCTCCTGCCTCTTCAGCAGACATTACGTTTCATTTTTTTTACCTATTACGAGGTATACTTAAGCCTCAGTAAACACCATATTACTGTATGGGGTCATGGTGTTTGGTGCAGTTTTTAAAAGTTGGCGCAGCCGCCCGCATTGGCTTTGCACGAATTTTATGGCTTGCCAAGCGTCTTCTCCAGGCAAACCTGGAAATTTCGAAATTTTTATGCGGCAATTTGCTAATAACGAAGAATTGTTTTACTCTTCAGCGTTCCTTGAAGACTGCTATTTCCGGAAAATATAATCACTGCAATTTTTCTTTAGAAGCACTGCCTAACGCGTTATAACCACCCCAGCAGGGAGAGCATATACTTTTTTAATCAACAAATCTATTGTTGACTTTTTGCGCATTTCTTTATTTCGAGGTGATTAAACTACTAGTAGTTTTTAAATTTATTATTGTATATTTTATCATAGAAAAAGAGCAATACTAGGCGGAATAGTTCGAAGTGCAAGCAATTTTTCAGATGCTGAATTCTTTTACTAAAAGTGGGGCTATTTCTTCACATTTAATGTAAACGCACTTGACAAATCAACAGCATTTATAAGTTCTTACAAAATAGATTATTTTCCTTTTTTTAGTAATACCGGTTTGAGATAACAATCCACCTATATTAGAGTAATATGGTGAACTTTAAGGCTCCCTCTGTGCTTAGTAATACTGTATCGTATTGTATGACAACCTGTTTACTGTGTTTTTGCGATAAGAGTATTGTATCTATATTTTAAGCCTTAATTGCCAATACTACAGTTAACAGCCAACCTCTCCTTTGTAGCACGAAGCCACGAGGCAATGATTACATATTGAAGAGGAAGAAGTTTTTTGGCTTGCCAAAACATTTTTTCTAGTACGGGGTTGAAAAAAGTAGTGAATGGTGTAAATAGCAAAGCACAACGAAAAAACTGAACAAAGTGAAGAGTTTTACTTTTCTGTCCCCTCATGTGTGCCGTTGAGTTGCCCCAGAAATCGCAACCATTCTCATTCACAGTTTGCTCCCAAAGTAACTTGTCTCACTGAAAACATTACTATTTACCACTTTTTAATGCTCAATAGAAAGTGCAAATGTAGTGATGCGTTGTTAGCTTTTTAGTAAGTGTAAAATATTGATTTCAAACAAAACGTCATGTGCAGTATGGAGCAGGACTCCAAATTGAGGAAAGATTATCGCAGCTCAGCTTTAATTGGCGTAGCCTGGACGGTTTTTTATTCCTTTGAATTTGCCTTAAGCCGGGTGGTCGTTCTGCAGAATACCCGTTTAATAGTGAAACAGACACATGCTGAACGATTTCACAGAGCACATTTAAAAGATCCGTCAGTACTTTTAGTCAGCGAATATCTGCAGTGCGATCTATACTGATTTTAACACTATTAGCGTCACAGATACGGATTTGATTGACATTACTGCAGGCACATTGCGAAGGTATTTTCTGCTCTAATCACACAGTGGTACCTCTATATCAGAAATATAGATCGTAAACGAAACGCTTATGTCAGATGTGATCACAGTATATTTATGGAACGCCGCACATTTTTTCTTCAAAACGAAAACTTGCTCACCAGCCTATAATATGCAGGTATTTCAATTATTGTTTAATAAGAAAGCCTCCAAAAGATTGCTTTTACATTTAAGAAATGCCCCTTTTCTCACATTGGCTCACTTGCTTCATTGCAGGAACTGTAAGCGAAAAAGGAGGAAAACAACAACTACGGAAACAACTACTCCGCCAACTAGTGTTGTCATGATTAATACTACTATGAGCTAGTACCGTGATGCTAGAATACTTCATTGAATATATATTTGATACTTTGCCGAAAATATGTCTTACTTCTTCAACAATGCAAGCTTCAGTCCTTTTCATACAAGTTATGGGAAAGGAGATCTTGGTCATGCGTCTATGTGAAACCTAGTCGAAACATCAGGGGCATCTTTGAACTACAAGATACATACAGTATTTTTCTCTCACTTTCCTGAAAAATCACTTTATCCTAATTTACTATCACTTTTTCCTAATTATGTTGCACACCTATATCTCGTCATAGAGTGGGTTTCATTATTACTCATTAGTTCCACCCCAATCGCAAAGCGTGCCTCAACCTTCCCTACAAACTAAAAGGTGATTTACTGTTCAATAGTACATTTCTAATGCACTACATATACAAATGTGTCAGCTCTCGCTGCTAGCACTGTTATCTATTGGTAACAAGTTAAATAATCATGAAAGTTGAAGACCATACTGAAGTCAAGTTGAACTGCAAGCCACGAAAGATCTCCGCATGATGAAAAAAGGCCCTAAAAATCACGACAAACACCGACGCAAAGAAAGAAACCACCAGTTTCAACAAAGCTGCACTGTGCGAAAAACAAAACATGTCGTAATAAAGTACACACATACCCTTAGAACAACACAAATGTCAAGATCACTCGCACAAACGTTACCCTGCCATGGCGCGCACAACGTTTGGCTATTCTTTATATACATCTATAAGTCAGCAAACTCACCTAAGAGCCGACTTGCTAAGGCTCACTAAGATTCAGATCGAGCCATGTATCTGAGAGTCTGAGTAATATTTTGGTGAGTTTGGTGAGAGCAATTTTTTGATGAGTGTCAGTCTGAGTGAGTTAGGTAGAGAAAAAATTTTGCCTAGTACGAGTGAAATTACGGTAGGGTAAAACGTCGGCGAATCTGCGCCCGAGTGAGCCCTAGACGCGAAATTCATTTCTTGAGGGAGTCTAAGCGAGCCTTACACTATTTTGCCGATGTAGTATTGAATTCACCCAAGTTCAGCATTACTAATGGTTTAATGCAGGCTCACGTAAGAACAGCCCGCGGACTCAGGCGCACATCAAAGCACCAGCGTTAAAACACTAACTGAATATTTATTGATCAGACAAGTGAGTTAGTACGAAGACAGGAGATACCGAGACCTCCTCATGCATGGTCCCGGGTGGCTTGAGCTTCGGAAACTTGGCCACCGTGGTTTCACCGCCAGGCCTTTTCCTTTGGCACAGGGCATGCGTTGACCTGCACTGAATAAACACGTGTCCAAACAAGCCCGGACATTGCTTCCCGCTAACGTCACGCTAGCCCCCGTTATGGTACTTCGCTTATCATCATTAAAGAGTTATAATATACCGGGTTTACCGTGATACCGGGCATACTGTGATACCGGAATCGAAGTGCGCATGCGCAGATACGTACGTTACGCGTACCGCTCACCGTACGCGCGGCGCTCTCGGACGCCCGCTTCGAAGTGATTTTGGCGTAGTTGTTGAAAGATTCACCTTTTTCGCAGCAAACGACTGTTCAAAGTGGCTTCGCTTGCCTTCAGTTAGCTTCGATGACTAAGTATTACGGATAAGTTGGCGTACTTTTTGAGATAGCTTCCCATTTTGAATGCGCCTAGGCCTAACTACAAGATCGATGTAAACAAATCGGCAACGTAGATGTTTTCGCGTTTTGTACGTGGTTCATAATTATTTACTTTTATTCTCACAAAAATTAACTTCTAACAATGCTTTGCGTGGTGGCATAAGCAAACATTCTCGTTTTATTTTCATTTTCACTGTTTAACTTATTAAGCATCTAATAGGTGGCGCCACCATCCCACTTTGGGGCACGTAAACCACGTAAGCGCTATTTCGCTGAACTATAAGACGCCGCCTACAACGAACCTTTGCTGCACGGTAGCGTCATTCTCTTAACCTATGCTATCACGCTAACGCTAAACTATAACTGTCTATTGGCAGCCTGTGAGAGCACCTTTTGCCGTTATAGCTTGCTTCCGCCCGGCTCTCGCGCGCTGTGGTAGACACTTGCACGCCCGCAGGGAGGAAGTCATGCTCTGCCTTTGCGGGGGCCTTTTCGGTCGCGCCAGGCACCGGAAACTCAGCGCTAGTTTTTGTTTCAAAAAACCTGCGCGCAGTGGTTCCAGGGCATCTTAATATCTGGTTGAAGCGAGCGAGGTTGACGTGAATTTTCCCATTGACTTTCACGAGTTTTATCAAACGAAAAAAATTCGATACCCCTGTAAAGAACTTCTTTTTTGTTTATGTGTCTTCTTATTCCTTATTTTGTGAATTTTGAATCAGGCTAAGCGCGGAACGCGATTGACTTGCCTTCGTAGCTCTTGCCTCCACTGCTTCTTGCCCCTCGCTCAGCAATATCAGAAGTATGATAGGGCTCAGTTATCTCGCTCGGTTGGCATGTCACCTACGGGAAAGATAAAGACAGCAAGTTGTTGTGGGCATAGAATGGAAGCCGCAGTGAGCTACGCTGAACAAGTCAACCATGCATTCGTTGAAGATGGCTTAATCGGGCAACACACGTTTTTCGTGGCTATGCGATGTGCTAACACGGAAATTTCCAGTTCTGCGAAGATTTCTCAGCATTTTCTAAAGGCAATGGGTGAGCACAAGAATTTGGACCCATTATTTGAGCAGGTACATGTTTTTCATGAATACATATTAGTAAACCCAGTTCTCTGCAAGCCCGACTGGACCGACAGAAGTTCAGTGTCACTTGACTAATTCGTGAAAACATCAGCCAAGCTCCTCTCGGGAAAATACGTTTATTGAAAGGCTCGGATACGAGTTGGCTCGGTGACAAAGTTCTAGTTTTTCTTTGTACTTTTGGCGTGCAGTTCAAATTATGTGAAGTAATTATAGGCTGCTTCCTGATCATGAAATTCTTCTAGCCATGGTTTCAAAATTTGTGAGTTTTTACTTCTAAGTATGTCAATGAAAGACACGTGACGGCTGAGTTGTTTCTAAATGTTAATATAGAAAATATTGATGGAACCAACTTCTTTGTAAGTGAACTTTACTTCATCAACGCAACGCTGTTTCTCTGACAAAAAGAAGTCAACTTGCTGAAATACTGTTTCTAGTGACGTTCTCTCACGAAAACTTCTGATCGCTTCATGCCTCTCCGTGCCTCTCAACTTAAGTCTCGTTTGGTACTCAAGTTTTGTAAAAAAAACTGTGCGTGCCGTCATAACAAACGTGATTGAGTCAAATACGTTGCGTCCCACTCGCGATTGTTGATTATTCTCGCATTGAGTCAGATATTTTGGGTTAAATGTTGGCTCATTATGTCCATGCGACAATTATAAGCTAAAGCTGCTTTTCTAGATTGACACTTTCACACTACGTGAGTGTATCTTTTTTTTTATACAAAACATGCACTAAAAAGTGCATTTTACTTGTGTTGATCGCGTCTCGTCTTACTCAGAAATCAGTCAGCTTAACATTCGCCTATTCAGAAAACACGAACAAAATAAAAAAAATATTAACGAAATTTTATGCCCACATTGCCTAACCGGCCAGTGGACCTGAAAGAAGGCATGAGCGCCTTATGTGGCATGCGAAGTGGGAAAGGAGGGCTTCCACAATGACCCTTTTCCTTTCGATTTTTCATTCTTTCTCTCTTTTTGGTCACCTCCCGAGGGACGTCATGAAATAAATTTTCTGTTCATGGTTGATTTCTACAAGGATGTCTGTCAACCGCCAGTGGTAAAAGCAGTGCTGCCGCTGCCGAGAGCGAATATACATAGGGGATAGCCCCCTGGCGTTAGTGCCTAAAAGACGAGCTTTACTCGGTTCTTACCAAATAAACTGCAGTCATACTCGAACCTGGCACACAGTGAAGTGCAGGACAGAGCTGCAGGTAAACTGCGACTCAAAACACCAACGCGCAGTTCATTTGCACTTGTCTACGGCGTCCGGACTTTTGACGCATGGTAAGCTACGCTGCTTTAAAGGCCAACCTCGGTAATTTTTCGAGGGCAATGTATCTCAAATAAACTCGCTGGGATACGTTCACTTACACATTCCCGTCTTATAGACCAAATTATGTCAAATGTATGGCGGGCGCTTCGCTTATCTTGCTTTCACAGCTTTCATATTCCGTGTCGGCGGGACCCGTATATGGTGTTCAGTTCTTACCAAATAATACGTCATACGCAGACAGGGCGCCCGGTTGGGTTTCGGTTGTGGTATTGCACCGTTTTGCTTAGCACAAAAATTTTTACAATTTTTGGAGCATTGCAGCTACTGGGCTCGTGACACGAGTGTCTCAGGAACATACAAACACCATTACCTCGACATGGTAAAAAAATCGCCGGAGTTAGCCTTCAGGTCTATTTTTTGTGAGCATGTTTATATACGCGTGTTACCCTTGGTTATTCTTTTTTATATAAAAACTAGCCAGAAACAAGCGCTGGGACGCTCGCGAATCTGGGATTAAGGTACTGTATACTACCTAGGGCTGACAAAATGGCTAATAGCGCCACCGCTACACTTGGGCGGCTGCCCCCCCCCCCCTCTCCCTCCGATGCCTCCGAGAGATATACGACTTTAGAAGGGGCAATTTAAAAAAAAACTGCTTTTCACACTTTCAACGAAGTCACAAATACATGATTCCCCACATTCAAGCTCGTGTTACTGGAGCTCACTAGAAACACTGAAAATAATGTGGATGAACAGTAAATATTTAGCGTTTGTATAGTCTAGCAGAGCTACTCATGTTGCGAAACAGAATGTTCTTTTGTAAACTATTGTTGCATTGTTTGCACACCTGAATGTCACCAGAATTTCGCTTTAACATCGAAGAACGTCATTCATTTTACTTTTTGCTGCTTGAAGTTCCCTAATGAAAAAGAAAAAAAATAGAAATTTTGCAGGTTTACACAATCACTTTTTTTTTTCAACGTATAGAGAGCTGATACACAACGTGACTTTGCTACATTATTCAAGGCGACAAAAATGATTCGACGGCACAAAGGCACAATTTTTAATGTAAGATGGTTCGCGCAATT